TAACATTTAAATCATTATATTTATTTTTATAATATTTAAATATTAAAATTACATCAAAAGTACTGTTAATATTAATTTATTTAAAATAAAAGATATATGCCATTTAGATATTAATGCAATACATGGTATGAATGCAAATTCTTATCATTTTTTAGATATAATTCAGAGAATAAAATTAGCATTAAACACTGCAGAATTTCTAAAATTAACAAAACAGCCCATTTTCTCTGAAACCTAACCCAATTAAAGCAAGATTTTCTCACTGAACCAATCTCACAACATCACAAGTAGTAAACTCCCAACCATGGCATTGATGTGTGTTTTTCTTAAATGAGTTAGGCGAGCCATTATATTTTCCAACTACCACATTCATTGAAGATAGCTGCTTAGTGACACCAGCGTAGTGTTTTTTTATTTTTTTAATTTTTTATTGTTTGGAACTTAGAATCAATTAAGGCTTGGTTTGGGGCGACGTTTTTATTGTTTCTTATAAAAGCTTTTCTAGTTTTAAAATAAAAAATTTTATACTAAAAAAACTGCTTTAAAAAGCAGCAAAAAAGCTTGATTTGGGTTAGATTTCTTATTGTTTTTTAAAGTAGTTTTTTAGTACAAAATTTTTAATTTAAAATATTTTTGTTTTAAAAAGTTGTTTTAAGCAGTAAGAAAGTCGCTTCAAACAAAGCCTTAGTTACAAAACTCTCAACCAATAGATTAAAAAGAGTTGAGTATTGTTTTTTTAGTGCACGCATCATAATAAAATTAGTTATTGGATTAAAAGTTAATAGTTATATGTTTCAAAATTCTACCACCATGGTGAGAAGGTTTTGTTTGGGACATCTTTTTTATTATTTTATTTTTTTTCATATCGCAATTTGACAACTAGTTTTTTGTTGATTTCAATAAATTTTTATGCAAGAAAGTTACTTTCTACAACATCTTTCAAAAAAATTACTTTCTTCATAGCAGCTTTACAACAATCTTTATAAAAAAATTCTAGTAGTCTCAAAGAGGCTCGAAGAGTTATGACTATAAAGCCACATACACTACTAAAAAAGGTTAATAAGTTGTTTATGCAACGGTTATTATCAGCAGTTTTCAAACCGGTGCTAAAAGGAGGTATTGACAGTAGTTATTAACGTTGGTAAAATTCCCTTATGACTCCACCCTCCCTTGCCCTAATTGGCTTGTTCACTCATTCAACTGTTCCTTGATCTCCAAAAAAAAATTGTTCCTTGATCTGCTCTGTCCTTACGCAGGGCCTTCGGCGAGTCTCCACAACTTCCTGCTCAAGCCAGCACCAATCCGCCTCTGATCCTCCCTCTCATCGCCCATCATCCAGCTTTATAGGTGTTAAGACCGCTGCAAGACAACATATTTGTAGCTGTTAAAACCGTTGTAAAAAATATTGCTGCCAAAACTAGATCTATTATAGCGATTTAAATAGGGTTGCAGAAGTTGCTTGCAGTCATAACAAATATGGCGTATGTGCTGCAGTTTTAAAACCACTTTAAATAAAATAGTATGTATTTAAACTGATGTTGTAGGGTAATAAAAGTATTGTGAAAGCCTATTTTTAATAGTGAGAGCCAAACACTATGTTAAGGTGTTAATGGCTAGGCGTGACCATCATTTCGCTTAAGGTTGAAGAAAGAATTCAAATTATAAGTTCACATTATATAAAAAATTAACTAAGGATATTTTTGAGGCTACATTCTTGTTATTTTATTTATTAGACAACTAAAATTTTATTTGCTGACCATTTTCTTGTCATTTTATTGTTGTTTTTCAAAAATTATGCGAAGAAGAACAATTATTACGTCCTCCAACCGGGCGTAGAGGAACGCCCGGTCGGAGGCCAAATCGCTCCAAAAAATGAGAAATACCGAGCAAATATCGAGCAATACCAAACAATAACGAGGAATACAATCACGTGAAGACCCAATACCGAGTTATACAAAAGTTGTACCGAGTTTTTCCTAGAAAAAACTCGGTACAACTCGGTATTGCTCGGTATTAGTCTTCACATAACGGTATTCTTCGTTATTATCAAATAATATCTAGTAATACCGAGCAAATACCGAGTTTTTTGACGGGATTTTGCCTCCGACCGGACGTTCATCTACGTCCTTACACCGGACCTAATAAAAGTTCTAGAGAGAAGCTATTTCTTTGTGACAAGAGTAGCTAAGTCATTTCTATCATAGCTACTTTATAGCTAACCTTTTAAAAAATTGTTGTTCCAAATAGACGCTAAATGTTATTTTTTGAACATTTTTTATGCACGCTTGAGATTGTTAGCTTTAGGTTACCTTTGTGAAGGCTGCACAATTTTAAAAAGTTGATTTTAGGGAAGTAATTTAAGTACTCATAGTTACAAAAAAAAAAAGCTTTCAATCATAAAATTTTTTAAAAAAATACTGAGAAAACAATAAAAAAATAGCAACAAAATAAAATTATGATTATTATCTAAAAGCAAAAGAATGAAAAACCTATCCCAAATAAACTCTTTGTTAAATTAGTTTTTTCAAAATTCTCATTTAAATCTAATAAAGAAATATCATTTTTAATATTTTCTAACACAAATCTTTTTAGGTATGATTTTACTTTTTTTAATATAAATTAAATCTAATACATCTACTCTCATAACTGGCCGATCATGGAAAGGCCGTCATTTTACGTGATGAAATTATCTAAGATGACTTTCACTAATCTTATCTTCCACTTTCTTCCCTTAACAACATAAGCACACAACCACAACTCCAAAATGTCGCCGGCCTTCAACCACTACAAGCTCGCCGGCATCATTCTTCCATCCATAGCCGCCACCGCCATCGTCGCCTTCTTTCTTCTCCCCTTCCCAACCCCCAAACAAACACTCATCATCCTCTCCACCATCGTTTCCGCCTGCGCTGCCGCCGCCTTCCTTCTCTCCCGTCCCCAACCCGTTTACTTGATCGACTACGCCTGCTTACGCCCTCTTCGCACCTGCCGCGTTCCCTTCGCCACCTTCATGGAGCACGCGCGGCTCTGCGACTTCTTCGACGAAAAGAGCGTGCAGTTCCAAATGCGTATTTTGGAGCGTTCCGGACTCGGGGAGGAGACTTGCTTGCCCCCGCCGAACCACTACCTGCCGCCGCTGCGCTCGCTCGAAGGAGGGAGAGCCGAGGCAGAGTTAGTGGTTTTCTCCGCCGTAGACGAGCTATTTGCGAAGACAGGGATGGAGGGGAAGGATGTGGACGCGGTGGTGGTTAACTGTAGCTTATTTGCTCCGACGCCGTCGATGGCGGATATGGTGGTAAATAAGTACAAGATGAGGGGAGATGTTCGGGCGTATAATTTGTCTGGAATGGGCTGTAGCGCTGGGATCATTGCGCTTGATTTGGCTCGCCAGCTTCTACAGGTGCGCGCAGTGTTGCAAAGATTTTTAAATAATTATTTCAGAAGATTATGATATATATATTTTATTGTGTAAATTTTTTTTGTGTGACAAAATTTTATTCAAGTGATAAAAAAAATTCTATAATAAATATATGATAACCTTTTAATGTTAGGAATATGGCATACAAATTTAATTTTTATGAAAAAGGTGAGCTTAGCAAAAAAAAATCAAAAAGAAAAAAAAAATAATACAATTTTGATCAGAATGAACTTAATTTATGATATAATTATTATATTTTAATAATAATAAATTATCATGATTTTAATTTATAGACAGATCAGAAAAAAATATTTATCGTGAAAATTCTTCCAAAGTAACAAAATAAAATTTATTAAAAGTTGTGATATTATTTATCTTCTCTTATTATTATAAACTTTTAGTTGTTGGTGCTCTTAATGGTTTCTTTCTGCATGTGCACTTATAAATGCTCACAACAGGGAGCAGGTGCCTGTTATCCTTTAACTAGCAAGTATGCTTTGATTCATTGAATAATATATGTCTTTACTCTTATCGATAGTGGAATCAATAATTTCTATTCATTTTTTTAATTTTTTTTTATGAATTTTTAATATAGAATCAGTTAGCTATATTTTGTTTTAATACAAAATGTTATTTTAGATTGAATTTCTTAAATTTTTTTTAAGTTAAATAAATCATCAAATATGCTTGACGATGATGATGATTAGCGTATATAGAAAAATATTCTAAGAAACCTTCTAATATTTAATGAATTTAAATATATATATTCCCAAGTCAAACCAAAGCAGCAAAATGGTTCTAGCTACGGGTGCAAATGAGTAAAGCTGGTTTGCGAGCTTACTCAAGCTCGACCCTATAATGAGGTCACAAGCCAAGCTTATTGAAATCTGATCAGTTTTTCGAATTCGTGAGACAAATGAGCCTGAGTTTGATCAAACTGTAGCTTGACCAGACAACTCATCGAGTGGCTCGAATAATCGGTCTGTAGAGGGCAGGCCAAATCAGAAGGGCAAACCCCAGGAGCGAGCGGTTTAGGTATTCTCATTAGGATTTAGGGGAGCAAATTCCAGTATCATGAGAAGAAAAAGTAGTGAATGGTGGGTGAAAGCGGAGGCTAATTCGTTCAAATCTCGTTCTAGCAATTGCAACCATGTTGTGCCTAGGAAGATCACCTTCCACTTCTGGGCTTTCAAGTTAGTCTTTCTTTCCAACTTTGTTCATCCTTAAATTTGAGTTAACAAGCTCGAGCTAACGAGCCGAAAATACAAAATTTGAGTCGAGTTTGAGACACTTAAACAGTTGGCGAGCCGAGTTAGAGACCTGAGCCGAGTCGACTCTTGGACCCTACCGCCAGTAATCTCACGTCTGCATTGGCATTAAATGATTGTTCGATGCTGGATAAATAGGATTGGAAGCATTTATTTGTTCTGTTCAGTCTGACAGATAACAATATATTTTTTAGTTAGAAAATATTCAAATAGTTCTCTCTTGCTTATTTTAACTTGTTTGTTGTCGACATATTATTTTCATATATTTATATTTTTATATAGAAATTTTGATGTTTATTTATGTAATATTTAAAATTTCAAATCACATAAAACATTATTAATATAATTTTTCACAAATAAATATATTTTTAAATAATTAAGACCCTAATGCATCATATAAATAAAAATTTAAATTTGGATATTTATGTGTATTAAGATTTTTTTAAGACAATTTTTTATTATTTTTTAAAATAATTTTTTTATAAATGATATTTATGTGGTATATATGTAAATTAGTCCTCTTATTTTTATAGAATAATTTGTTTAAAGAGATGCATGCAGCCTTAGTGGAAAATAATATTAGAATTATATTAAAACATAAAATAATAATAAGCTTTATTTTTTTATTATTAGAAAATAATATCGATATAACGAAATAATTTTCCACTGCAAAGCAGGTCCACTCCAAGTCAAACGCGCTGATAATCTCAACGGAAATCCTCAGCCCGAACTACTACGCCGGCAAGACCCGCCCGATGCTCCTCCCCAACTGCCTCTTCCGCATGGGCGCCTCCGCCTCCCTCCTCTCCAACCACCCCGCCTCCCGCCGCCTCAGCAAATACCGCCTCCTCCATGTCATCCGCACCCACCGCGGCTCCGACGACCGCTCCTTCCACTGCGTCAACCAACAAGAAGACTCATTCGGCCAAGTCGGAATCTCCCTCTCCAAAGACCTTATGGCCGTCGCCGCCGATTCCCTCCGCTCCAACATCACCGCCATCGGCCCCCTCGTCCTCCCCGCCACCGAACAACTCCGCTTCCTCCTCGCCCTCATCGCCCGCCGCGCTCTCTCCTCCTCCTGGCCACCTTACATTCCCGACTTCCGCAAGGCTTTCGATCACTTCTGCATCCACGCCGGCGGCCGCGCGGTCATCGACGAGCTTCAGCGCAGCCTCAGGCTTAAGCCGGGGGACGTCGAGGCCTCAAGGATGACTCTCCATCGGTTCGGCAATACGTCGAGCAGTTCGCTGTGGTACGAGCTGGCGTATGTGGAGGCCAAACGCCGGATGAGGAAAGGCGATAGGGTTTGGATGATCGGCTTCGGCAGCGGGTTTAAGTGTAACAGCGCTGTTTGGCGCTGCGTTCGGACGGTCGACGGACCGCCGAACGGCCCGTGGGATGACTGCGTGGACCGGTACCCGGTCGAAGTCCCCGAGGTCGTTACCTTCTCCTAGTGGTTTATTTGGGGTGGGGGAAAAAAATATATTGTATCAGCATATTCTTCTTTTTTAATATTTGAATGAGCTTAAATTTTTTAATGCGTGTTTTATATATATATATCTTATGTTATTTTTTATATAATTAAACTATTAGATAATATTTATTAATTTAGATATATTATCTAATAATTTAAATATTTTAAAAGATAATATATGATATTTAAAATTAATTATACTTGTCATAAAATTATTTCATTATGATATAAAATGTATAAGAATATGCTGATAATATTAGTTTTATCAATTCTTATTTTTCATCCGTTTATTATTAAATAATGATTTAAGTTTCATTTGGTATAAATTTCTTAATATTTTTTAAAATAATTTTTTTATTCAAAAGTTTCTTAAAATCGGTAAAAAATTATCTAATTCGCTGTTTTATTGTTTTGTTGATGAAACTGAGCTATGTAGCTTGCTCAGTTGTAATAAATGAATTAGTATCGAAACTGTTAGAAATTAAAGCTTTTGTCCACATTTTGTTAAAGAAGCTCAAATCAGGAGAGAGTACATTAATTAAAATTTATATATTTTTTTTCTCTCTAATACAATATTTTTTTTTTTGGGACATTTAAGCTAATTAAAATAAATACATACATAAATTTTGAACTCAATATCTCTTTATTAGTAATCAAAGCTCCCAACCAATATATCAAAATGAGCAGTGTCTAATTCAACAATCTTATTTCTCCATTTTTTTTAGTCACATGAATCTTAGTATTAGGATTAGCGTGTTGGGTTCAAAAGAATCATTCTTAAAGCAGTACGAAGGCCGTCTCAAATGTAGAAAAAGTAGCTTTTAAAGCTGTTGTAGAAAGCAGCTTTGTAGTAAACATTTTTTTTTAAAAGCAGTAAAAAAATATTGGCCAAGCGAAAATTATGTTACTGTCTGAAAAGTAAAGCGGTAAAAAAATTATCAAAAATGAAACCAAAATCTGCCTCTTCAATCATTTAGATGACCTCATCATATTGGTGATCCAGTTATTTACTCGCCTTTACAGTCAATCCAACGAGTTCTTAATTTATTTTATGATCTCTACAAGTCGGATATTCTAATTAAGCTACATATTACTTGTGTTAGTCATGTAATTAGCAGCCAATCCTTCAGCACCTAAAATTTTATAAATATTAATTTAGAGGGTCATTTTGGGGGATTTTTTTTAGCACTTTTATTATAAATACTGTCAATAAAATTTCATAGCTTATCTCTTTAGATTTGAATTTCCTTAGTCTCTCTCTCTCTCTCTCTCTATACCTTTTCATCATATTTTTTTCTGCTAAAATATCATAGTTGTGATAGTATAATTTTAATATCATCCACACATAGATTTGAATTTAAAATTTTTCATTTAAGTATTTTTATGAAATGAATTTAAATATAAATCTAACAACAACAACAATAACATCAAGTAGGGGTGTCAATTTCGGGTCATGGGTTGGGTTCGGGTCGAACCCGAACTGACCCGGGTGCAAACGGGTCGACCCTAACCCAACCCGGGTAGATAAACGGGTCGGAAAACCAAACCCGGACCCTACCCGGCGGGTTGCCGGGTTGACCAGCGGGGTGCACAGGCGAAGCGGGTGCGGCGGTGTGCCAGCGGGCGAGCACGGGATCGGTTGTGCGCCAGTGGTCGAGCGCGGGTGCGCGCGCGTGGCGCCGGGCTGGACTATAAGTAAGAAAAGACATCAAACGATCTATGGTATTTTTCATGCATCTAGTCCTATATAGGGGTGTCAATATTTGACACGACATGAAAACCCGACCCGAAAAATCCAGGTTGGACCCGACCCGTTTTAAAAACGGGTCGGGTTCGCAGATTCGACCCGTTTGAAAAAATGGGTCGGGTTTGGGTTGTCCCGACGGGTTGGGGTTCACAGATTCGCACCGCGCGCTCGCTTGTGTCCCACGCGCTCGCTCGCGTCCCGTGCTCGCTCCTTCCCGTGTCGGGTTGGGTCATCTTTGCAGCTAGTAGCGAGCTTTATCTCTCTCTTAAGGACTTGTAATTTTTTCTTATATTAACATGCAAGTCCGGAGGTGGGTTTGATCAAAAAAAAAAAAATTCTATTTACCAATGTGGATATTGGTGGAAGAAAGTTTTTTATTTTAGTGTTTTAGATTTCTTAAATTCTTTTCAACCCAATAGTAGCCAAAGATATATAATTGACCCTAAAAAGTTCATGGTAGGATCAAAATGGTTTTAACTTGGCGGGTCCGAGAGATTAAGGTTTCGTTTGGGACAACTTTCTCATTACTTTCTAATAACTTTTTAGTACAATTTTTTTTTGAACTTGTGTATACTAGAAAATAGTTTTAGAAAACAGTAAAAAAGTTCCCAAATGAAGCATAAATTAAATATCTAAGAAAATTTGGAATAATAATAAATACATTTAAAAATAGGCTATGCTTTATCACTATCATCCCTTAACATGCACAAATTTTTTTAGGAATTTCACTATTATGTACATCATCCAATGGTATGCTCGAAGATTGCACTCCCTAAGGATATACTGAAAAATGAAGGTAAGGTCTAACCCTTCATGGTTATAGTGAATCTTGTTATGATGATCAGCAAGTGCAAGCAGTCACTTAATCACACTAATGAAATCTCCTTCAATAATTATACCTTCTAATTAAAACAATCAATCTAACAAATGGTCCTTGATAACAGCAGCTATTAGTATTTCAGCTTGGGTAGCATCCGAGTGTAGGAAATTCTATCCAGCTGCAAAGATGAGCTCCCCATCATGATTTTGAATCACAATTCCAAGTCCAGCTAGGCCGGAAGGCCATAGTGAACTGCCAATGCTGAATTTTAGCTAGCCGGGAGGGGCGGGCACCACAGCTTGTGGCTAGCTAGTTTTCCCAGAGGGCTGGTTGATGCACCATTGCTACAAGATAGACATGAAATAAGTCTTAAACATTTAGCCAAGGGCCGTAGAAGCAAGAAGGATCTTGGGTGAACCATGTAGTCTTCCATGCTTCATAGCATTCTTTGTTCTTCATAATTGGTAGACCGCATAGCAGTAAATACGCCCTAAGGCTGAATTACTATTAACAAGAATATTGAGCTCACCAAATAGTTCTGGGA